CCGGACATGTCCGGGAAAAAGAGGACATATGGTAACCCTAGATCTGGGGCTGAACGCCTCCCAAGTCCAGGGTTTTGGGGAGAGTCATTCCTCCCCCCCAAAAAAAATCCACACACCCTTAAACAGTATCCACCAGCTCGAGGCACAGCATGGAGACAAATGGGCGTGAGACAAAATCCTTCTAATGAACTTGCTGGGGCGCTTTTTTTTTGGTTCTGTGTTTGTACAGCACCTAGCACAGTGGAGTCCTGACCCCAGATGGGAGCCCCTAGATGCTGCCACTACACAAATAATAATAACTAAGAATGTGTGATTATTTATTATATTTCTTGCAGAGCCTAATGGGTGCTTTTCTTAAAGCCTCAGCTCCTAGAATCAAGTTACTATGTGAGAATTTCAGCTTTCATTTTTTTTTTTTACAAAAATAAGTTTCTCACCCTCGTGTCTGAAATGTGAAAATATGAACCCTAAAGGCTACGACACCAGAAAGCACATGAAAAGAACCCCACAGTGGTTCTTGTTTAAATCTCATGATTTTTAAGCCAATGTGTGATTTTGAGGAGCTTGACCTGACATGATTTTTGAATGCTTGGGATTGGCAATACTATTTTTAATGGGGTCTGTATGGCTCCCTGGATTTTTTGTTAGCAGTCGCCCGGCTTAAATTTCCATTCAGCCACAAGGTGTCACTGTGGTAGAATCACATTTCATTGCAGTGCCCAGCATTGGCAATCCAATTAACCCTCTGAATAAAAAATAACTAACCCACCAATGATCGCAGCTTGTGGTTGAAACGAACAAACATTTCAGGGCGCTGAGCTCCAGCCTTGCTTAAACACCAGATGAGCCAGCAACCTTCCTACTGAATTTAAAAACAACACATATGTAAAAGGCAGGGGGCAAAAAGTGAAACAGTCTAATAGAAGATGAAAGGGAATGCACTTTAAAGATGAAAGCCCCAGGAGAAGTAAAGGGAAGTATTAGTTCTTTCTGGTTTTAAACTCCTTAGGACCTGTTTTTCAGCGCATCCACGTCTCCAAATGAAGTGAACGTGAGCTGAAAAGCATTTCTAAAAATCAGCCTTCGTTAATGTTCACGGCTTGGTTTATTAATTCATCATTATATGTTCGTAGGCCCAGCTCCTCTAAAGGGTTTTGGGTGTCTAACACTATTGAGTTCAAAGGAATACCTTTGCCCTAGTGTCTGTAGGATCAAATACCTGTACTTCTATAACCCAGACCCCATTCATGTCCGAGGGAGTTTCATGCACAGAGCTGAGGCTGTCTATGGCCATTAATGTGCCCCGACTCTATACCGGGATGGATCAATGGGGCTGCAGGAGACCTTTGCATTGGAGTTGCCGACTCCCTCTGAGCTGTCAGTGCACTGCAGCTTTTAGAATTAAATTCAAGATGCATTTACTCTCTGCTGCTTTCCATTTTTAATTTAAAAAGTGACTTTAGTGCCGCTAAGAAGAGAGAATTTGACAGCCTTGGAGATTGGAGTCTTCTGATTGTCAGTCCATACAACAGCATGGCAAACTTCCCCCCCTTGGTCTCAACCCTGAGCTGCAGGGCCCATAGCTGGAGGGAGATGGGAGTTCTGTTTCCATGTCTTGGTTTCATTGCCCTGACTACAAACAAGTAAATGCCAAGTGGACAGGTGCAGGCTCTGAGCAGTTTTAGTTTGAGTCCTACAATATTTCGTGTAGGCCATCAAAATGACAACTGGATTTGAACCTCTGACGTAGGCCTGGTCTACATTTAAAAGTTACACTGGTATAAATATGTTGGTTAGCAGTGTGATTTCTTACCAGAATAGTTATGCCAGTACAGCCCACAGTGTGGGTACAGTTATACCAGTATAAAGACCCCTTATATCAAGATAGCTAATTTCCCTTTCTATATGGAAAGGAGCTGTAGTGTGATCAGCAATTTTATATCAGTATAACTACATTGAGACAAGGGGAGTTGTACTGATCTAACTATACTGGTATAGTTAAAGCAAGACAGCTTTGGTTTGTAGACAAGGTTAGAACTCGGTAGGAAATGTTTTTCCCATTCTGTGAGAGTTTTCAAGATTTTTGACATTTTTTTCCCCACCCGGAA